GGGTAACTGAAACCACGGAAAGCAAAACCGTGGATAAGGAGGGACTACTGTACCTCAGCCCGAGACAAAATGTGCAAGAGAAGACAAAGCCAAAGAAAGAGCTCTGTGGTCCACCTCTAGAAACCTCCCTCGGGGTGACATGACCTCAGTCATCAGTACTCAGGAAAATCTTTCACCAGCTACACACCCATCACACTGCTCGTCAGTAAAACCACATGAACCTTGCTTGTAAATCCTTAGACTCAAAATACTTACCGAACACTCTACCCAAATTAGATTATTTTTCCAAGACTTGTTAGAGTGAATCCATGTTGGCCACTAGTTATCTCAACTTCCTTTTCTAAATCCCCAGATTGTCTGTTGAAAATTCTGACCTAGAATTTGGTTAGGGGTCAATAAGAAGCTTACCAGCTTGTCATTTCTAGGATCTCCATCACGACCACTTTAGAAAACAAGGATAGCATTTGTCCCTCTCTCTCTCTCTCTCTCACACACACACACACACACACACACCCTCCTATCTATCAGGGCTCCTCCAAGATCCTGGCAGAAGTTCTGCTGTTACTCCTGCTACTTCCCTCTGGATCCCAAAACCTGATCTGCAAGAATTTGGCAACCTGAACTCATGAAAAGCACTCAGCGTGGTCTGACTCTCACTCCTCCCAAAGTGGGCCTTAGCCTTCTCACAATGTCTGTTCCACCCTAACAAAAAGGAGCCCAGGTGGTGCAATGGCTAAACACTCAGCTGCTAACCTAAAGATCAGCGGTTCGAACCCACCAGCAGCTAGCTCCACAGGAGAAAGACCTGGCAATTTGTTCCTTTAAAGATTACAGCCTACACAACCCTGTGGGGCAGTTCTACTCTGTCACATTGGGTCACTTTGAGTGGAAACTGACTCGACAGCACCTAGCAACAACAACAACCCAAAAATGAAGGCAAGATATAGTGAGTCCTCTGCCTTCCGTGAACATTCTAACACCTGGCTAAGCAGGAATCTCCTCCTGCCTGTTCTGGTCATCTTGTTGCTCTGAATGTGGCTAAAGACATCTCTTTCTGTTGTCCAGCTGACCCAGGCCTGTTGACTCCCCACCCAGAGCTCTGCCCACTGCACAACTTCACCTCCCCAGTCAACTATTACTCAAGGCTAAATGCCAAGTTGCAGATCAGCCAGGAAGAAACAAAACTAGCCTTTTATCCAGGCCAGGACGATTCACACAGATACGTCAGGGGCACAAAGGCCAGGGAAAGGCATGGTTCTGGCAGGGGTGAGCCTGGCATGAGCCGAGGCTGGCAGACACCACAGAAACTTTGCTGGTAAAATCAACTGAAGGCTCAGCCAAATAATGGGCTCAACGCAGCTCAGATTTCACTCTGAGTCAACAGCCCCTTTGAGAAGAGCCCCACTCCAGAGGCACACCCTGTGTGTCATCAGCCCCTCCTTAGTGCCCTTTGCACTGCCCCCAACACTCTGCCTTTTCCTTTAGGCCGGATATGCAATCCCAACCCCCAGGAGGGTCACCATTTCCCTCAGCACAGCTCCCATTTCCTGCCCTGGTGACTCCTCTGAAGTCTATTGTTCCCACCAAGTCTGGGTCAAAGGAAGCTGAGTCCCCACCCATGGGGGCCCGCCTGCCCACACCACAGCTGGCACACACTACAGGCAGCCTGGCTGATCCTCCCACCTTTCCTCCTGTATTAAAGGCAGGAGGATGTGGGTACAGATCTTAGAGACTAGAGTTCTAGTGGAAATTTTCCAAAAGGTCCAGTCCCTACCAGCTGAAGGAACATACAGAAGATTCTAGGGCCATATCACACAGGTGGTGAAGAGAATCCCCCCAATATGTAGATGGAAAAACCCGAAGTAAGGGAGGAGCCATCACTTCAGAGAAGGCAAAATTGGAATTAGAACATAGGAGTTGGAGACTCTGTGCTCCCCAGTGACAAAGTCCCGCCCCCACCTCCACCTGGGCCCCTGAGCTGGTTGAAAGAGGGAGGAGGGGGGTGTGCTGGGGAGCAGCTGTTCAGCTCCAATTTCAGAGCTTTAAAGAGAGCTAGCGTCCCAACCTCTGCCAATAAAGGGTCACAGGGGGCCAAAGGAAGACAGGCAAGGTAAAGCCACCCTCACGAGCTCTGAATTTCCAACTGCCACCAGACTGATTTCAACTACAGGAAAGGCAGTAAGCCAAAGCTGGTGACCAGTGTTCTCCACTTGCACTGGGAATTGCTTTGTGACAGGTATTGTTTTGTGACAGCCACCAGCACAAGGCTCCAGAATGAAAGCCAAAGAAGGTTGTGACATATGCATCCCAGGAGATCTAGAAAGATAAGGGGAGACCTTTCACTGGCACACTGACTAGTGAGGAAGAAGGAAGGCGTGTTTTAAAGACCTCCTGAGGACCGCTTATAGACTTGGCATTCTCAGATTCTACAGTAAAACGGCTCCTTCCACAAGAGAGAAATTTCTGCTGAGACAGGGGAATATTTCTGCCCCCTCACAACCTTATTTGAGCCATAAGATGGGAAACACGGCCCAAGTGAGACTATGCCAGCCTCCACGCCTGTTAGATGATGGTGGTTTCAGGTCTGAGGCATGGGATCCACAGAGCAGGAGACAGAATGCAAAGCGAAAAGAGAGGGTTCTAAGCCCAGCTCCGCCACTCACTGCTTGTATGACCTTAAGCCAGTTACTGCCCCTCTAGTAATTAAAAATAGTTTCTCTATTTTTAAAATGAAGGGTTTAGACCCTGACATTAGTGTGTCCAACAGTGTTCATCAAGTTCACCCTGGGGGTACTAGCTACCCTGGTTTCCTAAGGATGAATAACATGGCACAGGGCCTGGCCCACAGTAATGCTCAATTCACGATCACTAAATAAATACATGAATGAATAGAGCAGGGTTCCTTAAAGCGTGTTCAGAGAAACACTATTTTGAACACTAGTCCCTAGGAGAAAAGACGTTCCGTGCTGAAATAAGCTTAGGAAACACTGAGTATAATATCTACTGAGTCCCTGGGATGTGCCAGGCACTGAACTAGGTGTTTTACAAACATTGAATTTTCACAAGAAACTTTCTGGATAGATGTTATTACCCCAACCTCCCATCCCATGTTACTTACCGGGATGCTAAGGCTGAGAGCCTTAAAGTTAGTGAGTGACTGTCAGGATTTTACCCAGAACTGTCCAACCCCATCCTATACCGTTTCCACTCCATCACTGCTGCCTTTAGACCACACTCCCTTGCAACCCCAGTCATACCCTTGGCCTAATCAGGTGAGAAGGTGAAGTGGCTCCCACCAGAACATCTGAATCCTTTAGGGTGGATGGAAGAACAGAGAATCCCACCACTCTGAGTTTCGCACCCCTTCCTTCCAAGAAGCTCTAAACACACTTGCATCATCTTGTTGTGGGACTGAAAAAAGAACGCTGATACCAGGTCCACCTGTGCCCCCACCACCACCATCACATGTTATGTCACTTCTGCCAGTCAGTCTCCTGGGCACTGTGGCTCTCTCCCTACCCAGTTCATTCCTTGAAAATGACAAAAACCCCAAATGGAGCAAAAACACCTCTATGCAAAGTAGAAAAGAAGAGAAGAGGAAGCCAAGACCCTTCCCCCTGAAGAGTTTCCCCAAGGTCACCTAGCAAATCAGGGGTAGCTCTTACCTCCCAGGCTGGCACTAAAGCATTCATGCAATTAGCTACTCATCCCCCTTCGCACAGGAAAGTGTTGAGCATCTAACAAGTTGTAGAGGATGAGAGTTCATTTCATTTGATTGCCTGGTCAGCTCCAAGAATAGTTGGACCAATAGAAAGTGGTTTAGGCTTGTATACATTGATCCTTATCTGTCCTTGGGGACAACTTAAAGGTACTATCTACACAAGTCTCAAGATTCAAAATGGTCTCCCTCTTTCTGGGGGACAATTTCCACAAACATTTCCAACTCTCACTATCAACAACCTGTCCCATTGCCTAAAGGCAAAGATCTGAACTTCTTTTTGCCTTCTACCAGCTTGTTCTCCAAACTTTCCACGCAAGAACAGGATCCATTTTCCCTTGGAGAAACAGGGCAGAGGTAGCAGCTTCCTTCCAGCTCTGCCCACTCCAGGGAGAATGGAGCCTGGGGACCACACACTACAACAAGCACACTCAAATCATCCCTGCACCCATACAACCACACACTGTCTCTGGCCCATGGTTATGCAGGGAGGAAGAACATTCATATCCAGAACCAACATCCTCATAGAGAAACACCCACTTAGAGAAAGGCATCACATAGCTACTCAGAGACTCTCGGCTTTCATATAGACAGCACACTTCTCAAGTAGAAATATACAGACTCTGTCACTCATGCTCAACACAAATACGCCTACTGGAAGCAGAGGTGAGTCATATGCGAACCGGTGGCAGCCCCATATACACTCAAAGCTGAGATACACACCGTCGGAGGGCACATGAACTCCCCAGAGGCACATACTCACAGAGGCATGTTCCTGGATTGCTAACTTTGGGGTTTGGAAGTTCTGCTCCCTAGATCCACTAGTCCCCATCAAGGAACACAACAGACTTCTCAACTCTTGAGGGGTGGGCACCTTTTGTAGAGGTCCCCCACTCTTGCATAGCCTTTGCAATTAAAACAGCCAATACACCTATCTCCAGAGCTCCTCTCTCTGCCCAAAGAGAAACGGGTTCAGCAGAAAAGGGGCATGAGTGTCGGGTCTCTTCTACCCCTGGTGCTCTAGGCTCTGCCTCTGGTCCTTTCAGCTACCCGGACTCCCTTTCTCCAAAGCCCCAGGTATCCCACCGCTCTCCTGGTCGTCCACATCGCCTCTACCATCCTCCGTCGCGCCGCCTCCACGTGCCCTGCTCTCTCTCGAGTCTCATCCCTGGGGAGAGTACTTCACGCACCATCCCCAGATGCCTGCCCTCTGGCGAAGTCCTGCAAACTCCCTGATCCTCTCAGTGCACCCTATCCCGCCCTCCCCGCTCCGCAGCCTTACCGGTCCCAGGGTGCGGGAAGGTGAGGTGGGTGCGCTAAGTCAGTTCCAAGGAGCCCGCCCCGAGCGCCAACTCTTCCTGCCTCGGCTCTGCTGAGGTCCCAGGAGGCGAGCGATTCCACAGCAGGGACGACAGAGGCTCAGCGAAGAGAGACTGGGCTCACCCACTGCGGACCAGCAGGCAGGGGAGGAAGGCGGGGCGGCGCGGGACCGAGCCAACCCCGAGCGGCCCGAGCTAAGTTGGCCGTAGCCTGGGTCCCCGGTGCGCGGAGCGGGGCGAGCGGAGGAAGTCTTCCCAGAATGGGACTGACGGGAAAACACGGGAGAGCCCTATTCCTGGAGGAATGAGTCAACCGGGAGAGAGGAAGGGAACTCGGGGGGAAAAGGCACCGGGCGCAGGGAGAGGGCGGAAGAGAGGGAAGCCGGGCAGAGGGGCAGGGAGAGCGCGCCGGGGGAAGAAAGAAGAGAGAGGGCAGGACCGAGCGAACGAAGGAGTGCAGAGAGCTCCAAGGCGGGAAAGGGGAGCGGCGGAAAGAAAAGAGCAAACGGGAGCACGCGGCGCGCGAAGGGCGAGCGCCGAAGGAAGGGGCGGAGGGCCGCAGGGGCCACGCGCGCGGGCGGGCGGGCGAGCGGCCGGAGGAAGTGGCGCGACCGGGCGGCGGGGCAGGCGCCACTCACCTGAAGCGGGGACGCGGCTGCCGGGCGGCGGGAGCCGGGGGAGCTGCGGGCTCTCCCCGCCCCCTAGCCTCAAGTTTGAAAGGAGGAAGCCTGGAATGTGCGGAATGAGGGCTGGTATGAGATGCGCGCAGCTGAGGGAGGGCGGGAGGGAGTGGCGGCCGCGCCACCGGCACCTCGGGGAGGAGACTGGGAC